TTTTATAACGATTTGCAACTGATATAATTTGCTGAATAAAAAACATCTTATTCATATTTATCACGGAAGTCTTATGGTAGATAGTTTTATACCTGTTTTTATCGTTGTTACCATTGCAGAAAGTTAAAATAATGATTTTTTTCAAACAATAAAGTCATACATAGATTAGATATCTTCAGGAAAATTGATATTTATATTCAAATACATTTTTAACAAGACTAGTGTTGACAGAACTCTGGTAGGATATTTTTTTGTGTACTCAAAAAGTGAGTACACTCTAGAATCGGTCAGTTTGTCCGGCCGTCCGGCCGTTTACACGATAACTTTTGAAAGAAGAGTCCAATCGCGATGAAATTTTCTACATAGTTTAGTCTCAACAATATCTCGATCGAGTTCGAAGATGAGCACAATCCGTCAAGCCATTGCTGAGTTATCGTAAAAAAGAGTCATTATTCCCTATGCTTTTCTATGCGAATATCGACCTATTCCCGCTTTTGTAAAAAATGTTTCCTATCATAGTCAAATAAAACCCCAGCTATTATATACCATTCGATAGAGAATTTCACGAGCTACAAAATGGTATATAAAACATAAAGAAACAAGAAGACTAACTCACCTATTGCAAAGATAATTAAACGGGAATTGGTTCTGTTTGTGTCCACACTCTAGTTGATCCACAATTAGAGCTCTGTCTTTCGATCACAGAGATGATAGTTCGAGGTTTTCTGGGTCGGAGAACTTTAATCTAAGCTCCGTTTGCCTCAAAATTCTAGTGGTTGAGCAGTAACCAATAGAAATCAAGTTATAGGAAAAAATGACTTTCTTAGGGTAAATCAAGTTGAAGAGTTGAAATCTGAGTTGTATTCATCTCTAAATCCTATTCGTTGAGCAGTAGCCAACGGAAATCAAGCGTTTATAGAAAAGATTTGCTAGGATAGTTTTTATGCTCACACATTCTAGGAAGACTCATCTATCTCATTCACTTTTTGAAGTGCACATAACTCTCGGATTTAAATCCGAGGTTTCCACATTTATTTCTTTTACCCCCTGCTCTCATAAACTTCCAGGCAAATGATGACGGTAGTATAAATATGGTCCTGTTGGAACAAAGTGAAGACATCAGATTATCAATATCATTTTAACTGGTACAGATCTACTATATTCAAGTCTTTTGTGTAGCAGTTTCTGTCATGCGAAAAATGTCGTATACTTATAGAAATATGTAATGTCTATGTCCGAGCTAGATAAATGTTTGGAGTATGTATCATACATCAAGGCTATCAAGGCATATCTAAAATCCAGTATAGAGTATGCCATTTTACTATAAAACTCTTAATCTACAACAGTAAACCTTACTGTTATAGAAATATACTTAATCTATCTTCGGTAATCATGTTCTAAGAATACAGGATTTACTACAGCAACAAACGTAAACATGCTCTCTTAAATTTAATCATTTAAAAATCATTCTAACTACGAAGAAAAGTTTTTCAAGATGATAATCACCCTGGAGCAATTCAATCTTTTATAAAAGAAAATCGGAAGAAAAAAAAATATTTTTGAACATTGTAGGTCAGTATTGGTTTTGTGCTTAAGCAATAAAACGTCATGAATGATATTTTATACAGATTATAGTAGATGTCTCAAATATAAGTTGTACCGTTCAGCACTAGTGGCGGCGCCAAGGGGAAGCTATCGGGCTGAGCCTCCCCAGAATTTTATTTTATGTTTTTAAAACAATTGGTAATCGCATTTACAAGTGATGTCACAGCATACTGATTTCTGCATTCCAGACATTTTCGTTCAATTTTCTATTAGTTTTTTATGGTGTCCAGCTCAAAGTCATCGTCTTTTCTTGTGACCGGAAGACAAGCTCTAAAAATGGATCCTCACAAACGTTAGACTATAGAGCCCTTTTTCCTTGCTTCTAACAAAAAACTACGTAATGATGAAATACAAACAGAATCAAATGTTATAATTTCATCTTCATTATCATCTGGAGCTCAAATATTGTTTCTATCACTTCCTCCTTCTTCTTTATATTTTGAAGATCGAAGTACGTGTGATCTTGTTTCTGACACGGCATTATTTTCTCTCACAACCTCTGTTTTTTTGAATGAAACCTTTCAAGGAACGTTATGCATGTCAGCTTTGGATTTCATTCCTAGGTATCCACAACTTCTTGTGAATTCTCGTCCCGAAGAATCCAGAACCCGGACGGATTTCTCATTCCTATAAACCTGGGCACCCATAGCGACTTGCTGTAAAACGAACAATAAGCTGTATCCAAACATGAGCCTGTCTGAAAATCCACAAAAACTATTGTTCGGGCGGATTCGTATTCCTTAGCGAACGGAATTTTAAGAAATGGGAACCCTGAAATCCCTAACTGATCCTAGTGAGTTGACAGTACTAGCAGTTAAGCGTGATTTTGATATAAATTATGAACGAATAATAGACAAGGTAACGCGGCGCAAACGCCGCGAACCCTCTACTGAAAGGAACTGGTGTTCCAGAATTTAAAGAATTCCAGCAGAGCAGAGCTACCAGCAGGCTAGCCTGAGAAGCAAGCATGCATTTCGAAATTTTATTTTCAATTCAACCGCTTATATTCCTTTGAATTATACATAGAGACTAGTTCCGACTTGCATTTTTGGCCGAATTCAACGCTGTGCTGTTCGAGAAAGTTTTGCACATAGCAGCAAATTTGTCTCATAACATATATTGTCATAGGCATTTCTCACACAGTAAATTGTTGAATTAGACCAATAATGTTGATGTGAGCTGATCTCGTAGCATACTTCAATATAATATAAACGATTCAGTTCAGATTATAATTTTAAAATTCGCGCTCACTTGGCAGACCAACCTACTGCCAGCTCCGGACCAGAGAAGTACAATGATTATGGCGTCTATACACATACCGGATCATCGGAATCTCATTGGCACAGAGCCAGAACCTGAAAACTTATGATTGGTCGAAATTCCAACTCTCGAAATCTCATTGGTTCATAGCCAGCCGGTGAAAATCTATGATTGGTCGAAGTTCCGACTGTCGAAATCTTATTTGGTCGTAGGTAGAATCTGAAACCCTATAATTGGCTGAAAATCTGTCGCCTGAAATCTGATTGGCTGGAATGCAGACGAAGCAGGCATCTGATTGGTCGAGGTTTTAGGGGCTGTAGACTAATCCAATGGCTGATGTTAAGCTTTGTTGTAAGATTGATCATGTGATAGTTCAAAAAAACATTTTTTCGTTCTGTGCGAACGAAATTACGAGGTTACGAACATACGACCCTAACTCGGTGTATGGCCCTCCTTTCAGTAGAGGGAATAAACTTTTAAACAACTACAAGAACTGTAGAATTTGATCGTCATTAAATTGTAGTTTCAGGTTTAATATAATAAAATAGCTGACTTTTCTACACATAACTGTGGATGTTTTCTAATCATACGAACGAAGTAGCATTCTTAACGGAATAAAATATCCAAGGATATGTCCACTGTACCTTTTGACAATTTGAGATTTGAGGGGCTCATCAGCCTCCCTAGATAGAAATTCCTGGGGCGGCCTCTATTCAGCACGAATATATGCGTTGTGATAACAGATTTCTAATATTGAAGAATATGCGTAAAATTATAAAAAATACATTAGATTGTGAGTTTTAAAACGATGTTCGCAAATTAGGGACGGAGTAAAAACCTGTAATATAATGTTTAGGTGAACTAACCAATAAAACAAAATTTCTAAGATTTTTTTAATTATTTTGTTTTAAGTATTTCTCACCGCATATGCTGATCAAATGTCGAACTTTTTTCTTACAATTAATTTCATTTCTCAAATATTTCTAACGATATATAAAAATGCGCAATCGTTGTTGATTAATGAATGCAAAAGAAGCGCCAGCAGTATGAGCATTTCAAAATTTTATTTTTCACGAAATTATGTTTTCTTTATTCTACAATCTTCAAACTGTTAAAAACAAAATAATTTGGTTGACCTTGTATTCAATTCATGTGAGTTATATGGTTATTTACTTTCCTTAGATTCATGATCACATTCTCTGCATAAGTATTTGTCTGATTTAATAAAGAAAAAACAAACTATAGATGTTTGAGCTATACCTTAAATAACGAAGATAGTTATTATCAATCTTAGAACAGCTTTTCGCTAGCAATTCTTCATTTTTTGGATAAAGAAAAAACTAAATAAAACCTTTTTTTAACATTAGGATAACTATTTGCTTGAATTTCCTAATGTTGGATATGAAAAATAAACTTTTGAGCTTAGATTATAAATTTTAACAAAAGAACCTTTTACTAACGTTAGGATAACTATTTGTTTGAATGTCCTAATATTGGATATGAAAAATAAACCTTTGAGCTTTGATTGTTAATTTTAACGAAAGAAGCTTTTACTAACATTAGGATAACTATTTGCTTGAATTTCATAATGCTGGATATGAAAAATAAACTTTTGAGCTTAGATCTTAGTTTTGAGCAGTACAACATTTACTAACATTGGGATGATATTTTGCTTGAGTATACTAAAGTTGGATATGAAAAACAAACCTTTGCCCTGAAGTCTTAAATTTTCATCTATAAAACTTTCAATAACGTGGAGATAACTTTTTGTTGAAAGAATAGCACAGATATTGCCGATTTCCTCATAGGTCTTCTGTAGTGATCATGAATTTAAGAGGAAAATAATCATATACTTATTTGTGAAATATATCGATTTAAAAAATATCATCTCAAAAATAAAGAAAAAAAATATTTACAAATAATTGTTTATTCTATAACTTAAACAAAAAAGTACTTGAAATGAGACTAAGCCCTATTTTTTATTTAAATTCAAGTAACAAATGTATGGGTTTCAAAAGGTGTCATAAATTTATTGAGATCAAGAACAACTAAATTCTTTAGTTTGCTGCAGGTTATTATCGTTCTTGTTATAGTTGCACAAATTAATGTGAGAGAAAATTAGCAAAATATTTTGTTCAAAACGGCATACGTTCATCAATAGTACATGCTCTCAGTGGACATTCAGGTGCTACCGGCATGTCGAACACAAAATAGGCGCCACAGTGTGTGACACGCACCGGCTGACCAGCAATGCGTGCACATGGTGTACCAGTTGGACTGACATAGCATATAGTTCCAATTGTTGTTGAATAAAGTATTGAAGGATAAACGCCAAAGAGCCAACCGGGGCTTCCGCCACCACATAGACGAAGACCTGACTCTGGAATATGATTGATGATTGCTGTGCCTGCTTGATCAACAAAACGTGTCCAACCAGCTGTCTCATTTGTGTCACAAGACCTGCCAGCACCGGACCCTTCGCGACGGGTGAAATCATCAACACGCCTATACTTAGTGCACTGAACTGGCACAACTAAATAATTAGAAGAAGAACTGTAAGCAACCTTTCCCTTCTATTCAACATACTTTGTTGATATTTTTGAAAACCGAGTGCTATAATCATTTCATTGAATTCATCTTTGACCGTCCATCATGATGGTTCGAATACAATATTGGTTAATCGATCACCACGAATTGACCAACGACGGAGTTGATGAAGGAAATGTTTAAAGAGATCTGGTGGTAAATCTAAGAAAGTATGACCTCTATTGTCACGAGGCCAATTATTGAAAAACGAAAGCTTCGTGTTTGGCACGTATGTCAGAGTTGCATATGTTGTAGAAATCAATTCACCACCAACATTGAGATGTATAACTTTGTTGTGCTCAGTTCTATTGAAATTGACGTCTGCTTGACAGAATCCAATATTGATGTTTAAAATAACAAGTAACGCCTATTTGAGCAAATATAAAGAAAATGGGATTAAAAGAATTAGAAGAATATTTACGTCACCTCAGTGAAGAAGAACATTATCGCTGTACGTGTGTGTTTGAAGATTACTAGTAGAAAATGCATCTCTTCATTATTGTACAAAAGTTTCCCCACAAAGTTTCTTGGTACTCTATTTTCTTTTTCTTATTCTTTTTCTCTTGCCGCTCGATATGTACGATTAATGGTATCCTTTGCACATAAGTGTATCTTATACACAGTACTAGTACAGCTTATGGTATATATGAAGGCTACAGAATGAAAGATAATGCATCTATCATTGATAAAACTATTTCTTTCTCTACATGATAGATCGTTGAGTAATGTGTAATTGATAAATATTGCTCGCTGTATACGAAAAGAAAGTTACTTATGCAGAAAAAAACAGAAAAAAGGAAAATCTTATGCTAAATACTGAAGTTGGTTACATGCCTTTTTCTGCTTTAAATAATTGTTACAAGGTATGCGCTATTTACATAGTGTGCAATAGATTCACAGCGACTTTTTTAAAATGAATTCTTTATAAATTATGAATAGTAATTAGTATTGCACTAAATAAGTGAATGAAAGTATATGTGAGATACTAAAATAAATACAGACTGAAAGCCTTATACAACGCGTTTGAAACATCAGTCACGCAGCTTTGAACAGATATGCTATGCCGAATTGAATTCATGAAAATTGATAAAATTCGAAGTGGAACACGCTTAAGTTATAGTCTATTTTATATTTTGTAGTTTGACTTTCATTACTACTGGACAATAAAATAATTTCATGCTACCGATGTCTGTCGTTTTGGTGTTCTTCTCACCTAGATGTATTATTCTATTTTTCTAAAGCTGATGTACACACATCCAGATTGTTTGAAACTTTTTAATGAATACTTCTTAACATGCAAAGTTCCACTAATATCTGACCTGTGTAGCCAGGACCATAAGATGGTACTCATCTTAATCCTAGAGAAGAATCAAAACAAAGTTTATTCTAAACTATTCTCGCCAATAATAATGTTAGAATGAATTTTTCGAAGCTTACTACAGTCGATGTATTCCTTGCTCTAACATCGCTTCTGGTGGCCTAACTTGAACACCAATCCCATTTTTGATCAATGGAAATTGAACTTAATCTGCATCGTCATACAAAAGTATTTTTTTGAGATGAACTATTGTTTATGGATTTATCAATCGCATTTGTCTAAAATTTTGAAAGACGAGATCAAAATTTGATTTTGGTCGTCAAGATTTTTCTGGCATTTGATCTAAAAAAGTTGAATTTGTCCGCATACACACAAGCATAAAGTGAATACAAAAGTTTAAGGCATTTTATTTTTTTTGTTTCCATAAAGGCAAGAAAAAATTAATGCTTTTATAGCTATCTATATAGGCGCGCGAACTAAGCTTGATATCCCTAGTATATTTTTTCTGCAGCTTCAGCTGATCGTTGTAAAAATGTGATTTTTTTTAATCTTTTTTATTTATGATCATCCTATTGGCAATGCTTCATATCTGATACATGAATATATACTTGCTCATACTGAGATACATCAAACAACATATGAAACAGTACTAAGTCAGTTTTATTATCAAGTAGTTTAGTAGAAAATATAAGAAACTTATGGTGCTCTGAAAGAATAAAAGTAGTTTTTCGAAACTTTTCTACAAGTTGTACTATCGAGTAAAGCGTATAACCCTTAAAAATGGACCTGACTCAAAAGATATTCTTTGAACACTTCGAAAAGCCATTTTAAGTTTGTATCAAAAATTCTTCAGCCGCGCAGATAAGATATAACATTTTGAGGGTTTATCCTGAAATTCATTCTATTTGTTACCGATGGGTTCTGTAACTCAAAAATATTCCTACATTCGTAGTTCAACTTCAAATATACCTAAAACAAAACAGATTAATGATTAGTATTATCATTTCAACAGCTCTTAAATTGCTCTTCCCATTTCAGATCAACTTAAAACAGGATAAAACGATGATTATATTTAGTATTTTAACAGCTCTTAACTTGTTATATTGATTTCCAGTAGGCCTAAACATACCAAAAGAATGTGTGTCTTAGTGTTCCAAAAGTTCTCACGATGGTATTTCATTTTCCAACTGAAGGTGTTATTTTCCTAGTACTGTTAAATAGATGTAAATCAGCAGTAGTTTGAATTTAAAACAAACTTAGCTAATTCGCATTTTGTAACTGATTGCATTCAACATTAAATTGAATTGTTCCATTTTTTCATGAGTTTTATAAAATATTCTTTAGTAGTGGGTAGTATGAAAACATAAAACCATTCGACCAGATCATGAACATGATTAGTCTTAGCAAACTCGTCAATATTTTGGAGGAGAATCATTTATACATGAAAATACTAGAAAATATGAAACATTCAAAGATTTTTGCTATTAACAGTGACTTTTGTATGCAAAATGAGTATTATATTCAGAATCAGCGTAACAAGTTACATTAGAAACTCTATTTTTCATTCTACAACACATGGCGTCACAAAAGTCACTTTACCAAGAAACAATTCAATATCTCCACTAAAAGTCCTGGCAAAAAAGCTGATTTTTTTACCGATAATAGAGGCATTTACTTTCTCGCACATATGAAGAAAGTAATGTACAATGAAGAAGAGCCACTTTATCGGAATAAATTGTAACCAATCGAGTGAACTTGTGACTAACACGTGCTGTGTATTCATGTATATTCACTCTTTGTATTTTTGTCCTTTTGCTCTACCACAGTTCACATTGTTAGTTCACACGATATTAATCTTTTATTTTCCATATTGCTCGATCGTATTCATCTACCGTCTCTGACTAGATTTGCTTTGTATATTCTCGGTAAGTCTGATTCCAATCTGTTCTTTATTTTCTATTCTATGACCAGTGCGTACACTTATTCGAACTCATGGGTTTGTAGGGGGGTGTAACGATTGGTAACGAGAAATTTACAGGGCTTTCGTAATACGAAAGCCCTGTCATCGTTTTTACTACAGGGCTTTCGTAGCGAATTTTGACAGGGCTTTCGTAACAAATTCTGACAAGGCTTTCGTATCAAATTTTGACAGGGCTTTTGTATCAAACTTATACAGGGCTTTCGTAATCAAGTTCTTATTGCATTCATAACTAAAATGAAAGACTGGCACTAAAAAGAACAGGGCATTCGTTACGAATACCCATGCTTACAAATATAGCTTAAGTCATTAAGTGGGATCCATTCGTAACAAGTTTTTTATACTTAAATGGTCCAAATACATGGTACTATACTGTGAATGAATTATTTGTATACATTCATAGATGTCGTTGTTATTTCTAGTTCTCTATGTTTTTCCAGAATTGTGTACGCCTTTTTTTGTGAAAGTTGTTGACTTAAAATCGAAGAAATCAATTATGTGTATTCTTAATTCTATTATCTGGATATTGTTCTCGTTCACTCTTCTCTCTTTATGTATTGCCTGGTTTTTGTTACTTTTTGTTGTTACTAGGGATGTGCAGTTTCAGTATACTGACCACCGATAAAACCGCACTGGCGTTCACTGGTACGCTGACGACACTGACACTGAGCGCACTGTCTGCAGTGACACACCGACAATGAGCAAACTGTCTGCAGTGACGCACTGACAGTGACCGCACTGTCTGCAGTGGCACACTGACACTGACGAGGGAACACCGCCCAGGTGAAGCTCCACTTTTGACTTGATAGTGTCTCCCTGCAGACAGTGCAAATCAGTGTCAGTGTATCACTGCAGACAGTTCGCTCACCATCAGTGCCTCACTGCAGACAGTGACACTCAGTGTCGGTGTGTCACTGTCAGTAATTCAGTGTTTTCACCGAAACTGCACATCCCTAGTTGTTACTAAGAAAGAGATTTACAAGAAGATAAAAATTTGTCTATACTTATATGCTGGTTCTCACTTTCTACTTTTGAACTATTTATGTTATAATTTTGCTGGATCACTAATTTCAATATGAAATCCTGTCAGCAACATCTGACTAAAGATCATACCAAATCCTTTTACGTTACGATAGCCCTGTAAGAACGGTACGAAGATCCTGTAAGACCGATACGAAGACCCTGTCAAAATTGTTACGAAGGCCCTGTAAACTTGATAGGAAAGCTCTTTAAAAAATGATACGAAAGCCCTGTCTAAAACGATACGAAAGCCCTGTCGAAAATCGATACGAAAGCCCTGCTTTTTATGATTTATGCATTTTACATTGTTACGAAAGCCCTGCTTCTTACTGGGCTTTCGTAACCAACCGTTACGAATCGTTACCTTCCCGTTTGTAGATGCTGAGATTGATGACAAAAGAACAAAGAATTTTTGTCCTCAAACATTGGTGGATATCAGAAAAAATATTGCCAACAGTAAATACAGCTTTTCGAAATGGATTTCCTGATGATAAAATTCCTACTCGACAAGCAGTTTATCAACTAGCAAAAAAATTTGCTGAAACAGGTTCTGTTGACGCTACAACACAAAGTGGAAGACCAGCAATGACCAACACAGAAGAAAATGTTTTGTCATCATCATTAGCCGGTTTAGCTATCGGAGCAACAATCATCTATCGTCATCCAGATTATTTCTTGCGGGTGGCACAAGCGAATATGCCAGGACTTGATCGATTATTGGCTATTGTTTGCACTACAACGTATGTCATCGGAAAGATTACATCGACAAATTTTCATGCAGTTTACCGAAATTGGCGAGATTATGTTCGTTCTATTATGGTCAAATATTTACCAAATTATATTGACAGTTCCATTACTGATACATCGGAAACAGATATTGTTACAGTGATCAAAAGTTCAATATATAAAATAGATATATACGAAAATGTTTGGCATAAACCTGAAGAACTAAATATGATCAAAGAATCAATTCAAAGTCAGTTGGAACATTTAGAAAAGTTAAAACAAGGCCGATCTCCGCAAGAAGATTATTTTCACTTGTACGTTACCTCAAATCTTTTTTAAATATTTTTTATGAATTAGCTCGATGACTGTGTCTTTGAATATGAAAGAAAACTTAGAAAACATCGATTTTATCAATACATTTGATAATAATAATGAAATAGCCATTGTAACGGATATAACATATCTATATCAATAAATTTGGTTTAATATTGTTGAATGAATTTTAGCTTTTCTATTTTGTTAAATGTTTATTCAATCAACAGAATAAACAAATGCGACATTAGTTAATATTTATTTGACAATGACTATCAAAACAACATTAAAAATATCTCTAACAGAAATTTGTCATACGATTGTCATAAAATTAATCTATTTAATCTACAATAGGAATCTATGAATGATATCCAGAAATGTGCCAAACGAGTTCCTTTTATTAAGAACAAAAGCCTTTGCAAATAGATTGAAATACTTGATATTACTGTATAGCTAAGCTCGTCCATTCACTCTCACACTTAATCAAATACCTTTTGAATAATGCGCATCCAAAAAATATAAATCTGATCAAAAATTATAGTGGAATTATTTTATTCGCAATCAAAAACAGTGCAACGAAAATACAGATTATTGAATTCTATTGTCCTGTCGTCGTAATTGTTTTTGTTCATTCCAAGAAATGTTTTTGTCGTTTTCGCAGATTCCCAAAGTCTCGAGTGTCTATGTGTTAAAAAAACAGATATGAGAGAGATGAGACAACGAAGAAAATTACCGTGTTATATCGCAACGCATCAACGAGATGTTGTGCCCCGACCACTCCAGTTGGATTATAGTTCAAGTCCAACCTGGTGAGTGTCTATGTGTAAAAGAGATGTATATAAAAGAGATGAACATATGACAAGAATCACTTTGTTATATCTTAAGGCGTCAGCAATATGTTGTGCTCCAGCAGCATCAATTTTATTGGCTCTTATGCTCAGTGTGATGAGCGCCTGTGTGCACGAAAGAAGATGAGAGTGTCAGAGAGGTAAAAACACTGAGAATCACCTTATTAATTCGCAAGGTATTAGCAAGATGTTGAATTCCAATCATTCCGAATTCATTGACCGACATATTCAATGTGGTAAGTGTCTATGTATCACAAAGATGAAGATAAGAGAGTAGAACATACGATGAGAATCACATTGTTATATATCAATGCATCAGCAATATATTTAGCTCCAGAATCTCCAATTCGATTTCTTCCTATATTGAATGTGGTGAGTGTCTATGTATATAGAAGGAGATAAATGCAAGAGACATGAAAATAGAATGACAATCACCGAATTATTTCTTAAGACATTACCGAGATGTTCTGCGCCAGCGACTCCGATTTCATTCTCAAAAAGATTTACTGTAATAAGTGTCTATGGGAAGGGAAGAAGATAAATATACAGAAGAGATGAAAATATACTAAGAATCACCTTATTATTCTGCAAGATGCCAGCAAGATACTCAGCTCCACATTCTCCAATTTTACAAGCTTCAAGATTCAGTATCACTATTGCCTATACATAAGAAAGATTAATAGATGAGAGCGATGGAAGCAGGATAACAAGGATTACTGAATTAAGTTTCAAGCCATTGGCGAGATGTTTTACTCCATAATCTCCGATTTTTTGGTAACTAAGGTCAAATGTGGTGAGTGTCTATGTGCAAAAAAGCAAATAAATATATAGGAGAATCGAAAAGAGGACAAAAATCACCGAGTTATGACTTAGACCATCAGCGAGATGTTCTATCCCACCATTTTCCATTCCTTCGTAATGAAACTTCAATGTAGTGAGCGTCTATATGTAGAGAAGAAAATGAACATGAGACAAATGAAAATAGAATGAGAATTACCTTATTCTTTGTTAAAGCATCGGCAAGATCTTGTATCCCGACAGTTGCGAACCTCGCACGGGGAAGAAACAGGGTAGTGAGTGTCTATGCAAACAGGAAAAGATGAGTATGAGATAGATGCAAATAGGATGAAAATCACCGAATTATTTCTTAAGGCTTTACTAAGTTTTTGCATCCCCATAAGTTCAGTATAACACCCTTCAAGTTTCAGATAGGTGAGTGTCTTTGAATAGAGAAAAAGATGAATATGAGAAGAATGAAAATAGAACGAGAATCACCGAGTTACGACTTAGACCTTCAGCAAGATGTTGTACTCCATCATCCCAGATACCACACCAGCTAAGGTCAAGGGTGGTGAGTGTCTATGTATAGAGAAGGCGATATACGTACATGAGAAAGGTGCTAATAAGATAAGAATCACCTTGTTAACTTTTAAGGCATCAGCGATATGTTTTGCTCCAGCATCTTTGAATTTATTCCAGGCAAGGTCAAGAGTGTTGAGTGTCTATGTATAGAGAAGAAGATATATATATGAGAAAGATGATAATAAGATAAAAATTACCTTGTTAGTTTTTAAGGCATCAGCGATATGTTTTGCCTCAGTGTCCCCTATTTTATTCTCGGAAAGATCTAGAGAGATGAGTGCCTTTACGTTAAGAAAACAATGAATATAAGATGGATAAAACTGCGATTCGAATTACCGAATTATTTTTTAAGGCATCTGCAAGATGTTCGATCCCAACAGCTCCAATATGATTTTTTCGTAGTTCCAGTATTTTGAGTGTCTATATATAGAGAAGAAGATACATATATATTTATATAAGAGAGATGATAATAGAATGAGAATCACCGTATTGGTTTTTAAAGCATCAGCAAGATGTTTTGCCCCAGTATTTCCAACTATGTACTCTTCGAATTGACTGTTGAGGATCAGTGTGGTGAGTTTCTATGTGTAGAGAAATTATAAATATGACATAGATAGAAATAAATTAATGGTCACCGTGTTAGTTTTCAAGGCATCGGCTAAATATTGTACATCATCCTCTTTAAATTGGTTTTTAGCAAGATTTAGGGTAGTAAGTGTCTATGTTAGCAAAAGTGTACGCATATATAAGACAGATGAGAATTGAATGAGAATTACCAGGTTCCTTCTTAAGACATCCGCAAGATGTTTTATCCCATTAGTCCTAATATGATTCCAATGAAGATTCAGCGTGGTGAGTGTCTGTATGTAGAGAGGAATATGCATAAAGGAAAGAGATTAAAATGTGTTGAGAATTACTGAGCCATTTCTTAAAGCATCACACAGATATTGTGCCGTCTCGTCTACAATAATCATGGATTCAAGATTCAGTGTGGCGAGTGTCTGTATTCAAAAAAGATCATTAATTCGAGGATAATAAAAGGTGAATGAGCATCACATTATTATTTCGCAAAGCATCAGCCAGGTATTGTATCGAAGCATATCTAAGATCATGGTTGAAACCAAGGTCTAATGAAATCAATGTCTTATCATGTAGAAAAAGATTAATATTTCGCAGTGAAGAAGAAGATGGTAATTACTTTGTTTATTTTTAAGGCATCTGCGAGATGTTTTATTCCAGCATCTCCGACCTCATTATAGCGGAGATTTAGTGTGGTGATTGTCTTTGAAAAGAAAAGTATAGAAATAAGATAGATGAAAAGGACCCCGCTCGTTAAGGGGCCAAATCTGCCACCCCGCGAAGGTGCCATTTTTATATGTTGCTTTTGTAGCTTGGACCCAATCACACATTTAGAAATATTGTTTTTTCCCTACAGACTTCTACTTATATAGAGAAGCTAATATCTCTATGATTAAATGGCAGGAGTCAATTGGGGCCCTTGAACCCCACTTTTCTCTTCTATGGAAGAAGGTTTTGAAATTCTGATTTCATATTTAGAAGCAGTCATATAGGTCTTCTAATTCCCTATAATCACCATTTTTTCAAACTTTTCAGGGATTGAATAAAAACTGAAATACGGTTACTAAGGCTATATAGTACATATAGATATGAAAACTTGAAGTGACATTAGCTCAATAATAAAAACTAATACATCGACGAAACTTTTACAAAAACTTGCTTATATACTCAGATTTATTTTGATACTATTTCGACTTTAAAATGTTTTGTCCAAAGTTCCACTTGACAGTTGAATATTCTCAAA